ATCATGTACATCAGGTGGGAAGAAATTATCCTGCTGGGACAACAATTTGCTTTTTCAGTAATTGAAAGATAAAAGGTTGAAAAATGTTCTGTTTATACGTGACACTGTTCAACAATCTCTTCACAAACACCAATGAGGAACGAGTATTTTAATTTATGGCACATTACTTGTTCCACTATTAGATTAGTTTGTTCGTTGTGGGCGAATATTCTGTTGAAGTTTTTACTCCTCAGGTCTAAACGACAAGGGCTGTAACTTATATGAAACCAGAAACTGCTCTCATCAACAAGCAACATCAAATTTTATACAATCATTTAGATGACCTTCTCTAGACACCACTGGACACATAAACTATACTGCTGACTTGTACGTTGCGTCCCTGTAAACGATCTCCTATGGTCCGCGTTAATGCACTTGCCATCAAATTATATCTTATATGTACAATGGACATCACACAGTTCATTACTACTCTATTTACAATGCGTCGAAATTGGTGCACGTCTGTATCAGGTAGCCGTTCAGAACCTGGTTTAAGATTGTAGGAATGTTTCTCTCTCTACTGTTGGCAACTTCGAATAACCAGCGATGCGTTACACCCAACATTTACATAAGTGTGCCTTAAGGCCTGTCGAAGACACATAACCTGGTTCCGCTGATAATAATTGATAAAAGGAGCAGGTATGCGGCTCGGTGTTATGGTCCTTGCTTGCATTCGACTCTATTAGCGCACTGGAAGATAATCGAAACATGTTTCACTGTTACTGGGAGTGAAGGAGGAAAATTATTTTGGGAGTGTAAGTTTGAAAGATGAGGTTGCAAAGAAAATTTGGGAATCGCATCTAAATACTTTTAAACACTCTCAAAGAACGTTTGCGCTAACTGGGTTACGCCTCCTGAAGGTATTTCTAACTAGGTCTCACCTGTTTTATCAAAAGGAGTTACCATAATGCGCATATTTGGCTGTGATGCATGTATGCGCTATACCCGTATTGGTCTGTGTGGTATAACGTGTATATTAAGAGTGTTATATTTGTACCATAGCATCATTTTTTTGTAATACTCTGTCAATCACTAATAATAAAAAAATCTTATTAATTTTAATTTCTATTTAGTGTTAAATTCTAGTGACAAATCGAAAAAGTCGTGCAGTAAATTTTAGTTTGGTGACATGTAAAGAGTCTTTGTTTATTTACTATGTTCAATTCTTACAGGATTTACTAATGTTCACCCAATACAAGGCCCAAGAGCCACTCAAAGTAGAAGGTAACTGTATGGAGTTGCATTAACGTAAGAAAGGTTAAGAAGTGAAGTTCTTGATGCTATGTCGGAAAGATAACAGCTAATTCTAGACTTGAAGGGGTCCAGATTTAATTAGTGAATAAAATATCAGAGTTCACGGGGAGACGTTAGTATAGAGTTGAAGTACATTTTAAAAGGAACCGGAAACTCAATCCTAAACAGAAAACAAGGGATAAAAATCTACTCCTGTACAAAATGGCGTAAAGGAGTCTGGACCGGACGATCAGCGATCTTATATAGTCTTATTGAGGGAGGAGAAAATAATTAGTGAAAAACAAGTCATAGTTCAGACGAAGACGTTAGAACTATAGAGTTGAAGTCGACATTACAAAGAAACGAAAACTCAATCCTAAACAGGGAACAAGGGATAAATCTCTACTCCTGTTCAAAATAGTGGAGAGGAATGTGAACCGGACGATAGGCAAATCTATCTAATCCAATTGGAGCTATTTCTTTTTGAGTACTCTGACACGTATGGTAATCTAAGTACGCATTTTCATTTACCATCTATATATAAATTGGAATGAATTCACATGAAACTTAAATTCGTATAGATATGCATATTTTTCGCATTTTTTAAAAATAAAGTAAACAATATGGTTTGCTTCCTTTTTTTGCCTACACAGCCTATTTTCAATAAGTATAATCGAGCTGACGTTTCGATAAATCTGGAGAACCTCTTAATTAAGCAAAGATTATCTTTACTCGAATTTCGTCAACATAAAAAAAGAAATCTGCTGCGGCTTAGCAAAGTTAATATTCTGGTTAATATCATTAAACACGCCCAATCCGGAACGAAAAAAAATGCCTCAGAATGTGAGTAGAATAATATGGTATCAAATAAATGAAGAAAAGAAGAACAAATAAAAACAAATAAATAAATAATGTTGATTTAACATCATTAAGTTTATTTCAAATCTCTTGAAAAACTAAGTTCAACTAGATTTTCTGCATACATGTGCAAAATGTTGCTTCATAAATACAGCGATGTAAGCACACACGTCTATACAAAAGTGTGGTTATGTGTGTATATTCGAGGAATGATCAATATTTGAGTAGCCTGGTACAAATACTTGATGATTAAAACTTCAATTATTTTCGATATGTGTGATCAATGAAGACTTTCTGGATTAAATGCATTGAAAACGAATGAGATTATGTGGAAAAGCAGGTTTTTACGCTAGATAATTGCTAGATTTTTATTATTACACTTTGGCATAATTGGTTGTATTATATATATATATATATATATATATATATATATATATATATACACAAAACCAGTTGAACGCACAAACTAGAACTCCCACTCGACAGACACACATGCACAATTGCAAATACACATTAGCATCCGATGCCCGCTTTGACACAGAAAAATATTCAAAAACCTATATACACATATAATTATGTACAGTTTTAATGCACATGATACGTTGTCTCACTAATGAGAACTGAGCCAAGCATAATTGAAAATGCCAGTGTTTCTGTCTTTTTGTGTTTTCTCTCAATGTCAGATGAAGCTTTAATAAAAGTGAAACGGGTTAGATTTATATACGTTTTTTATTCATTCTTTTATTCTATCATCCTGTTGGATTCCGATCCATATTTGATCTGCATTTGATCTTTAACACACACACACACACACACACACACACACACACACATATATATATATATATATATATATGTACATATAACTACACATGTATAAATAGGTTTATATGCATGAATATTGTATACACACACACAGACACACACACATATATATGTATATATATATATATATATATATATATATATATATATATATATAAATAATATTATTTGATAATTAGTATGGATAATTACAAAAGAGCATATATAAATCCAAAGAGGGTCAATGTTTCAATGGGTTCCTCAAGTCTCCGATTTCATCATTTATGTATTATATATATATATATATATATATATATATATATATATATATATATAACTACACATAATCTTAAATCAATTGATATATATATATAAATATATGTATAACTATATATATGTATATATCATATTATATATGTAATATATATATATTAACCCTCTCCCCATATATATAAAAATTTATATAAACTTAATAAAAAACAATTTTACTTTATATATATATATATATATATATATATATATATATATACACTTACCTTTTCTCTCCACACACAAACACACATATATATTTTTATATATTTATATTATCCCCTCCCTACGATATATTTCCAATACACTTGATTTTTCCCCTTCTCTTTCTTGTTTCTCCTCACCTTCTCCCACACCTCCCGTCCTACTCTTATACATTTATTTTATTAAAATATAGCCTTCATAATTCTAAAATAATAAAATAAAGCTTTAGGAAATGAATTCACCGAAATCGCGTAGGTGTAACGTGAGTTGTCACGCTACACCTACCTGACCGTACCACAAGGTAGATAGGTACTTTAGCGAGTTTCCTGTATTCCAAAGCAGAGTGGAATTTAATGTATTAAAACAAGTTTATCCATTATATAAAAAAATTATGAAAAATAAGTTAGACAAGGATGTGTCTTCTCACCGAATTTTTCTTTGGTCCGACATCGAGGCGATGCTCAATGTAATATAAGAATTAGTCGAATTTATCATTTGACATAATTTTAATAACTTAAAATGCGCCAATGACAATGTATTGATGGTAGATACAAAATGAGAACAGCAAATCCTCCTAGATAAGGTATCAAAAGAAAGCAATAAAAAAGGATTGTTAACTGTGAGAAGGCAGAATGTATAATCGCCCTCAAAAGACACAACTGACAGTTACACCACTCGACCTGAAGACATCAAGTACAGTAAATATATTCCTTGGTTCCGCCAGGCCTGACCTTCAAGGCAAGGACCCAACATGCCACTCACATTGTAGCAAACCATTCACATCCCCTCCGTATTCCATCGCTGAGAAGTTCCACTCGAATAGCTTCTTTCCGCAAACCGCTGCTCGGTGCAACCGACTCCCAAGAGGATATTTCCACAATCACTACAATTTTAAGTTTATGGATAACCGGTATCTTTCCCTCCTATCTGTATAAACTGCCTCTTAACGTAACCCTCTACAACCAGTGCCTTGTACAGAGTAAACCTTACTGGAGAAAAAATATATATACATAAAATAACGTTAATGTAGACGACGTAGTATTTGACATACAACTGAAGGTTTATTAAAATATCTAAATAAGCTTTGTGAAACTGTAAAAAGCATTAAGAAAATGTCATTAGAAAGCAATAAAATAGTACTAAATTGTACGATAGTGAATGATGGATAATTTCTTTGTTGGTGAATAAAGGACTCGAAGCGATATGTGGTTCTGCTGAAAAAAAATGACTGAAAATGTAAGTAATCCCTTAAAAATGTAAAGTAAAAGAATATTAAAAAAATAAAAAAATATTGTTGAAATTTCTAGGACACATAATGAAAGTGGAACCGGTAGAGCGTCAAATATTGCGTAGAATTACAAGGGAGAGAAAGCTGTGGAGAGCCATCATCGCCAAAATTCTAAAGTGACACGGCACATATAAGAATAAATTTAAAACGAAATATTACAATAGCTTCCACGAATCTTTAAATAAATAACAATATTATTTATAAAGTTAATGTAAAGTTTGCCAAATACTCGATCGGGTGTGGTTCTCAAATAAATATTCCACTAATGCAGCCTACAGCCCTTTCTCTCATAAGTATATCTCCATTGTCTTCTTTGATGTGGGAGACCGGCCTCCTATCGAGCACTGAACGCAAGCAATGTGTGGGGTAAGACTCAGGTGAACGAACGTCATCTGAAACGATCGGCTATTTAAAGCGATTCACGCTGGCCATATAGCTATGATTAACGAGCCAGGCGTCGACCTGCTTCTTTGTGTGTCAAATGTTTTTCTTTAATAAACCTTGCGTTCCTGTGGAGTGCAATGTTGGATACACTGGGTTTGGAAACGAGCGAGAAGGGAAATAGATAAAGAGGATGAAGAGGAATTGGATAGTGTAGTTGTTTGAAAAGCTATAAAATAAAGAGCGGTGAATGTATAAAATAAATAGAGGAGGGAATGCAATTGAAGAGAAAGCGATTACTAACTCGAAAAGATGAGGAAGAAAGTGAGAAAGATGGCGAGTGGTAAACAAATACAGCGTCGTTTTACGGAAAATTTAATTTACCTTTGTCTAGGTACCTCCACGAAATCGCTAAAAAAAATCAGTATACCGTGATGAAAACATGCTCCAAACGTAATGAAAACAGTTTTATTGGCAAAATATTTTAATTTGGAAATTCTTGCAAAAATGAAATAATTGTCGGATTTTAATTAAATTATTCACAAATGAATGAAATTATTTTTGACATTTTTTATATGAGAAAATTTTGGTAAAAATATATTTTTTACTTGTGTTTCACCCCCTTATTTAATTTTATGAAAACTTGAGAAATTCAACGTGAAACTTTTTAGGGACCATATTAGATAAAAGCAGAATTCTTTGAAGAATTTAAATCACCGATTTCTTTTTTCAAAATCGGATCTCGTCTTACCGAATATGTGTTCTGGATTGAAAAAAAAAAAAAAAATCAATAAAAGTAAGATATTATTGAATTAGAGAAGCTTTCAATTGCTTTCATGAATAATATATAACTTTAAAGACAATATTGTCTGAAGAATAAATCGATGGAAAATGAAGTTTTACAAGATTTGTGTTCATTTTTTACAATTTTAAACTGAATAATTTATAAAGTTTTGCATCTTTTAAAATTAAGTTTCAATGGTGTAACTCTTAGGAAATATAGTTATTAAGTAAAGCTACATTTATTAATCATATATTATAAAGCTTATTGTCATCTGACGAACCCGAATATTTTTTTAAATAATTTCAACTTGCTTGTGTACGTGCATATACATGCAGAATTTGAAAGTACGAATGTTCTTACCTGATGTTATCACTAAAAAGTCACGTGTTTTAAGGGTTGTCCGCCACCTCCACAAAAAAGTAATAAAAACTCATATTGATTGCTAGCTATTCTGTTTCACCATACTTAACTTGTCAACACGTTAGACGGCCGATAAATCAATCTACTCGTAAGAAAAAACAAAACATCGTGGTTAAGAAATGTTATAATATTTGTTTCAAATCAGATTAATCTAACTTTAAATTTGCTAATTTTCCTCGAATAACGTTTCAGAAATATATATTTTATTTTGCCAACATTTTTAAAACCGTGAATTAACTTTTGTTTACAAATGTGTCACAATGGCCGATTGTATCAGTTTTACTGAAAAAATCAATTCCGTTCAATATAATTTCTGTTTGAAATACACTCCAGAGTATTACTGGAAATAGTAAATTTTACCCCTTTATCATTTTTTTAAAAAAATCATTTTAAACTAGACGTATGCAGAATTAGTGGAGGTACTTACCTTGGTCTTTTTATCCCAAATTCTTTCATGGTTAAAAGATGTTTTTATTCTTTCTTCATTCAATCTAATTCAATGTAATTCGCATTCTCTTATTTTCGCGTTTGTATTCCTTGATTTTCTACTAATTTTCAATTATTTCTATTTTCTGGAATATCCTTTTTCTCTGCCATTTAAAACATGTTCTTGTTCGTTAATAATATTTATGTGGCGTGTCACTTCAGGACGTAGGCGATCATGGACCTCCACATCTTCTTCTCCATTGTACCTCTTAAAAAGTTATGTCTTTTTTGGTTTTTCGTCCAAACCCTGTTCTACCATCATTTTACTTAAGCTCATTAAGTTACGCGCTGTTTTCCTCTGTGTCACTTTCCCTAAATCTATCCTGTGACTATCTTATTTTCCAAGCTTTCTTTCCTCATTATGTGCCTTATAAATTCCAACTGCCTCTTACTGATGTTTAGTATAAGTTTCCTTTTTGTTACTATTTTCTCCAAATACTCGTCGTTGCTCATATGTTCGGTTCATGGTAACATCAGCATCTTTCTGTAGAAACACCTTTCTGTTGATTTATGTCTCTTCTTCATCTTTGAGAAGATTGTCCAGCATTCACTGCCATATAGAAGGACAGATATCACGTAACATTTCAATATTCTTTTCTTTGTTTCTCACGAAATTTTTCTGTCTCTTAACACACTGCTAAACTTTTGGAATGCATCTGTTATGAATAATCAAGAATGGTCTCCCCTTGTTTCATTACTCTCCTCTATGACAGAGCTATTTCTGTTTACTGGAACTATAAAAGGACACCATACGAAAACCTTGTATTCTCAGTTGCATAAAACTTTCTTAAGGCCTACATCTGTGTACTTTTAGCATTTTTTGCCATCCCAATACATATTCGGATCTCAGTATCGCAATTTCCGTCCTCTGTTAGAACACTTTCCAGATATTTAAATTTTTATACTTGTTTGATTTTAGTATCTCCCGATTTGTAATTAGTAGTTTGCGCTAATCCTTTTGTTGATATCCGTGCATTTTGTCTGTTTATACTTAATCCTTTCTTCTCGCTTTCATTCGCTAACTTTTGTAGGAGCTTTTGCAGATTTCTTTCCGTGTTTGCTATCAACACACTGTGATCTGCTTTATCTTATATTGTTAGGATTGTTGCTACCAATAATGAATCCTGGTAGGACTTCTCATTCTCTCAGAATTTCCTCACTGTAGAGGTCGAATAAATCCGGCGAGAAGACTTATCCTTGTCTTACACCCCTTTCTATTTTTGTATATTTACTGAATTCTTTTCCTATCAGGATGCAAAACGGTTTGCTGCCTGTAGAGATTCTTGATTATTGTAATTTTCCTCCCGAACATATTTCAAGTTTGCTCTTTTTAATTCTTTCACTGTTTATTCTTGTCATCTTGGCTGTATTCATTATTTTCATTCATTTAATTTGCTCAATCTTTCTTTCTTTCTTTCTTTTCCTTCATTCTTTTCTTTCTTTCTTTCTTTCTTTCTTTCTTTCTTTCTTTCTTTTCCTTCATTCTTTTCTTTCTTTCTTTCTTTCTTTCTTTCTTTCTTTTCCTTCATTCTTTTCTTTCTTTCTTTCTTTCTTTCTTTCTTTCTTTCTTTCTTTCTTTTCCTTCATTCTTTTCTTTCTTTATTTCTTTCTTTCTTGTTCTTTTAATTGTTTTTTTTTCTTTTTTACTTTGTGTTGCACTTTTTTTTCTCATCTTCTTTTTTATCATTGTATTTTCTTTTTCTTTCCTTTATCTTTCTTTCTGTCTTCGCTTTGATTTTGATCTTTCTTTCATACTTTTTTTCTTAATTGCTTTCTTCCTTTCTTTCATACTTTTTTTCTTAATTGTTTTCTTCCTTTCTTTCATATTTCATTTTCGTTTTTTTTCCTCTCTCGCTATTTTTCATTCATTCATATTTTTTTTCTTTCTACCTTTCTTTGACAACTCTTATTTTTATATTTATCTTTTCCTTTTATCGAGGATCTTTTCTTTTTTTGCTCATTATTTCTTGATTTTACATCGATCTCTTTTTCTTTCTTTGACTAGATTTTTTTAAAAGTTTTATTTATCATTCACTTTCTGTTTTCTCTAGTTCTTTCTTATCATTGCACTTTCTTTCAGTCTTTCTTGACTTTTCTTCATTTTTATTTTACTCGTTCTTGCGTTCATTCTTTTCTCCTTATTTTTTTTTTCATTTCTTTTATTCCCTTTTCATTATTCTTCATTTGGATTTATTTATTTGTCTCTCCGTTTTTCTTTCATTCTTTTTTATTTTCTCATTATATCTCTTTTTTATGTTTTTCCTTATTTTTTCTTTGTCTCGCATGTTTTTTTGTTTCTTTGTCTTTTACGTCCTTTTTTTCTCTTGTTTTTTCTTAACATTGTACTTTTTCTTCCTTTCTTTCTACCTGTCTGTCTTTTATCACTTTTTATTTTACTCTTGCTTTTTTTCCTTCTCTTGCTTTTAGTTTTGCTTTCTTTCTTTCTTTCTTTCTTTCTTTGTTTATTTATTTACTTGTCTCCATGATTTTCTTTCTTCCTTTTTTCGTGTTATCTCTTTTCTATTATGTTTTCTTTCTTTCTTTCTTTCTTTCTTTCTTTCTTTCTTTCTTTCTTTCTTTTGATCTATATTTTATAGTCTTCTTCTTCAAGCTTTGCCGCTAGCTTTCTTTTTTGTAGTTGAGGTTTTGAAGTTAGTTTCTTTCTACTTTAAAAGGGGTCCAAATATTTATCTAATCGACTTTCTCTTGTAAAATCTTATCTGTAATATATCTGTTGTTCTACTCATGTAGACTTCTGTGACTTTTTCTTCATCTTTCCTGCTTTTGTAACCACTATTATTATTTTTGTTGTTGTTATTTCTTTGTATACAGATTTCTTTCCCGAGCCCCAACCAGAGACCTAAGGTCAGAAATGCCTTCGTGGCAGTTTCCACTGATGATTTTTTGTAAAAATACCCCACCCTGCCCGGAAACCGAAGATCACAAATATTTTGCGTAGATAAATCTCTTCATAATTTTTGTATTTCTTTAAGGCATGGAATACCAGAAATCCCTTCGATGATTCTATCGGAACCTTTTCTAATTTATCCGAGTGCTCCAACTACAACTGGAATTATTGATGTCCTCATATGCCACATTTTCGAAATTTTCGCTTCAAGATCCTTGTATTTTGATAGTTTCTGAAAATCTTCAGATATACTTTACAAATTATTATCATTATTATTATTATTGTTGTTATTTCTTTATGAAAGGTTATCCTGTGTAGTGTGGTCTCTGGTACCTTTTTGTTCTTTTGATGTAGACTTTTGTGATCTTTTTTCATCTTTTCAGCATCGATGATTTCTTCTTCAAGAATGTTTACTCATGTGTTACCACTATCAATATTATTATTAGTAGTAGTAGTCGTAGTACTAGTAGAAGAAGTAGTCATAACTATAATCATTGGTGCTATGCTTCTTTCTCTGAAGAGGATAATTGTTGTTGGCAAAACTATTGCAGGTTAGGGAAATAGATTTGAGGAAAAACTGACAATTACGCATTATAATCATAATGATAATTTAAGAATTATAAATCCGAATTTTATCGATGTTCAATGAAAAAGGTTATTTCGATGCAAATCAGAAGATTATCAATATGACCGGAAAATGCATTCTGTTTGTTCAGAGAAATTCATCTAAATTAGTATTATTAGTTCTTTTTCTTTTCATTCCTCATTTGAAAGTTTTCATCTGCAACTTTAATGCCGTTTAAGAAACATATTTTCCTTTCGATCTTTATTTTGTTTGTCTTAGGATTTCTGATTCGGTTATTAATTATTCATCGGAGACCATTTATTTTCATTTTGTCTTATCTCAATGCAGCATAGATTCGAACATTTTAGCTTCTAGCTTTTGTGGAAATATAGATAAAGTCTTTTTTTTGGTGCAAAGAATTTGGCTTTCAAAAAGAGAAAATCAAAAACGACATTACTTTAAACTTTTTACAGAGGCGGAATTATTTATTTATTTGTTTGTTTGTTTTATTCATTTTCAAGGATTTTAAGGAAATAAAGGACAAAAAATGTTTTTCTTTCTTTATATATTTATTCTTTCTTTTCTATCTATCTATCTATCTATCTATCTATCTATCTATCTCAGTCTATTCATATCTATCTATCTATCTATCTATCTATCTATCTATCTATCTATCTATCTATCTATCTATCTCAGTCTATTCATATCTATCTCAGTCTATTCATATCTATCTATCTATCTATCTATCTATCTATCTATCTATCTATCTATCTATCTATCGCAGTCTGGTCATATCTATCTATACTAGTCAATTCATATCTATCTATCTATCTATCTATCTAGTTAGCGAGATATGATAATCTCTCTCTCTCTCTGTATATATATATATATATATATATATATATATATATATATATATATATCTGTGTGTGTGTGTGTGTGTAGGCGGCACGGTGGAGTAGTGGATAATGGCTTGGATTGAGAGCCAAGTTCGAATTCCATTCGAATCCATTACATTGACTTGCGAGCTAATATCCTTGGGAAAGGGATTAATCCTCTTCTTCTCTAGGTATGGGTAAATAGCAGGACAGACTGTGTTCGATAGCCTTGGAAGGCAGCTGGTCTAGGAGAAGTACAATTTGAATTCAAAACCTGCGAAGGGTTGTTTGGTCTCTATTCGACCCTTCAAAAATGTGGATGGTTCTGCACAAAACCTTCACCACTATAATCAAATCACATGTGCTGGTGTCTAACTGTCGGTTGCTTGACCCTCATACGACGAATACAACAGGAGAGTCCACGATATATATATATATATATATATATATATATATATATATATATATATATATATATATATATATTGACATTGCTTTTAAATTTTTTACATTTTAAAGTTGACTGGAAAGCATGGAGCTACAAGAGAGTTCCACAAGCAAGAAGTGCGAGAGAAGAAACTGTTAGCATAGAACACTTACGGTTACATCTAACCAGCTCACCTGTAAATTGATAAGATCACGACGCCTGTCCAGTACTTCGCTTAAATTCAGAAACACTACGAATCAGAGCGAATAATTTATTACCATGAAAACATTTATAGAAATGACATAGAGAATCAAACTTACTGCCGTAGGAAAATGAATGAAGCCGAGCCGCGTGGTCAGGACTAATAATATTGATGATTCTTTGGATTTCATCAAGGATATCAAAGTAAATAGCAGGGGGCCCATATAATATGGGCAGTAATATTTTAAGCATGGACGAATGGAAGATGACACGACACAGTGAACTAACTTACCGAGCCGCAGACCCAGCAGTTGATTCAATATAGTATTTTCTACTTCAAGTAATGATAATATTAGCCGTCTTCCTGTAAGGAAATATTTGACATTCATTGACCAAATAGTTAGTATTGATTTCTCATCAAACATTTTTTTATCAAGTCCAATTCAAACTGCGTTCTTTCCGCTGTTGATAGTGGTTTTCTTTCTCGCGTTCTATTTGTAGTGATGCTAACAACACGATTATGATATAATTTTCTCTTCCAGTAACATGAATTATCCATTTTCTTTGTTACATGGTTTCTGTTACTGGGTACAGTTCTTTATTTGTCCGAAGAAGGATTAACTTTGCCAAAACCTGCAGGAACGAATAGTTCCGACTGATGATTGGCATTACATGAAACTCTGTGTAGCGGATTATTATTATATTATATTTAGGTTCTGTCGATTTGTGCATTGAGTCATCAGTTGATTTTATATTTTAAGCTTTTAGCTGATATTAAGATTTAGTTTATAATTTATAATATTATTTGTCAAATGCTTTATGTATATATATATATATATATATATATATATATTAAAGACATTTTATGTTTAACGTTCTTTTTTTTATAGATACAAGTATTTAAGTAAATGCTCTGTTTATAATAAACAGTATTAAATAACATTTACCGGCCTGAATACTGTTTATTATAAACAGAGCATTTACTTAAATACTTGTATCTATAAAAAAGAACGTTAAACAAAAAATGTCTTTAATAAATAAATTGTCGGACTTTGTCCATTTCATAATATATATATATATATATATATATATATATATATATATATATATATATATATATAAAGTTTACTTATTCATCGGACTAAATTTATCATGTTGGTACCAATACACATGTGCAGGAAGGAGAGGTGCTGGAGGTTTTAGAATTTAATTTTTTTTTTTTTTTGCCTCGATCACAAAGTCATCTACAGTAAATTTGTGCCCTATTGGCTATTACAACATTTCACAATTCCTGGCAGATATTCTGTCAGTGTTTGATGCTTCCTAATAGAAGTGATGGAAATAAAAAGATGCTAATTGAATTCGGCTGGCAAAAAAGAAATTCTAAAAACTCCACAGCACCCCTCGTTCGTACGCATGTCTAGTCGTAACAACATAACAAATTTAGTCCGATGAAGTCCTGAAAGACGAAACGTGTCACAAGTATATATATATATATATATATATATATATATATATATATATATGCATCAAATAGTGAGATAAAGAAACATGATTCTACATACGCATAGGGGCAATAAGACCTGCTTATATAAATATAGACAGCGACGTGTATATATCAAATTTCTACAAACATCTGCGTACATTCAGTTAGGATTAAATTTATAAACTCGCTTCCCAACACGCGTCTATACATGAGATTATTTCCAAACAATTTACTATCAAATTTGCTAATCAGCTAAAAGCACGTATTCGTCGATGTTATCAGAGAGGAAAGCTCAGCTGTCAATAGGATACAGTGAAATATACATACATATATATATATATATATATATATATATATATATATATATTTAAAGCATTCGTGATAGAGACTCTCTAAATGGCTTGGCAAACTTTATCCCAATTTTCATGTGCCATTCTATCAAACTTATTCATATATAAATACACAGGCACATACACACATATGTGACAGGATAAGGAAAGAACGCACACACACACACACACACACACACACACACACACACACACACACACACACACATATATATATATATATATATATATATATATATATATATATATATATATATATATATATATCTGTGTTTGTGTATTTGTGTGTATATACATATTCTGTATATTTAGGCAGTAAATGGTATTCAAGGCAAATATTAAAACGACAGACATTTATGCCGGTTAATTTTATGGTCGAAAAGCCCGCCATGAATTGTCCGAAGTTCATTCCAGAAGAAAAAAAGTAAAAAGAAATATTGTCCAAGCTTTCGGCTTCCTTTATATATATATATATATATATATATATATATATATATATATATATATATATATATATTGAGGGAAATTGTATGCCAAAGCGGCAAATGTTTACTTGTGATACGTTTCGTCCTTCAGGAATTCATCGAACTGAATTAGTCATGTTGGTGCGACTGCACATGCGCACAAACTTCGGGTGCTGGGTTTATAGAAATTTGTTTAGAATTTTTTTCATTTTTTTTAATATTTAGCCAAATTAATTTAGAGTCTTTTTCTTTTTTTCTTTCCATCACGTTTGTTATTATCACTGTCATAATAAAAGATTTGCCAGGAAGAGTAAAATGTTGTAAGAGCCAGGGCGCGTATTTACTGTGGATGGCATTGTGATTAAGGAACTCTCTAGACACTTCCGTCATAAGGATTAGTTTCTCCTTTGATCAGAGTAGCACTTGTTATGTCAAAATTTTGGTTAGTCTCGTTAGGGTGGGTAACCAATGTATTTGACGTATTGTTTTGTAAAATATCCCATTTGTGTTCACATAATCCTTTATTTAGTTTCCTTGAAGTTTCTCTTATGTATTTTTTAAGAAAATTATTGAAGTAAATTCCTCATTTAGGGTTAGAATCTACTGTTTGAGACTAGGTTAAAAACAGCCTATGGTCTATTTGCCAGGAAGGTGACTTTTTGATATTATCAACCTGATGATGAGATCCAGGTGTCTGGCTTTGAAAAGGGCTTAAAAACCAGTTCACGTATTGATTAATTAACTTTACGGAACTGTTCATCGATGACTGTGTTAACACGAAGTCATCGTGACTGACGTTTGGAGCGTACTAGTCTTCTTCAAACTTTTGATCCCGCCATATCTCTCCCACAAACGGTGAAATCTGCTCAGCATCTTCTTTTATGTACCGTGTCTCTTCAGAACGTGTGCGATCATGGCTCTCCACTATTTCCTATCTTTTGTAGATCTTAGTAAATTTATCTATTTGATGTCTCTCTTAATACTTGTTCTGCCAAACATTTACACAAGCTCGTTCTTTTTGCATGGGCCGTGAGCGATAATGGCTCTCCACAAATTCCTGTGTTTCGTAGCTATTATTAAAGTTTGTCTTTTTACTATCTCTCCTAATCCCTGTTTTGACAACCGTTTACAAAAGCTGAGACGTGGCCTGCATTCCTCTGCCTCTCGCCCTTCAGTATATTTTGTGAGCGTCAAATATCCTATGTTCTGTTTCCATATCATGTGCCTTAGAAGTTTCAACACTTTCTGTCATAATGCTATCTAGTTCCAATTCTTGCTTCCTTTTCTATAAAGGATAATGCCCTGAAAAACAGAGGTTTGTTGTCATAAAATATCTCCTCATTTAAAATTACCTTAGAGCTTTATTAAAGATTTGAGATAAACAATTTTAACAAAATATTTAAAGATCTTTATTTAAAGAAGTAAGAGGATACAAATAAAAAGAATCGAAATTAACTCGGTTTCCATTTCACTGAAGCAGACATTAAACACATGAGAGCTTTATCACCTCTATCTTCTCTTTCTTTCTTTCTTTCTTTCTTTCTTGTGTTGATTTTCTAAGCGTAGCCTAGATGTAGCATAATGCCCAACAGTATAGGGTACCCAGTGTGGATCGAACTCACTATTCAAACGTAATTATTTTAGTTCTTTACTTATTTCTTATATATGCTTTCTTTGTCTTTTTTCTATGTGCCGTGTCCTTTCAGGGCGTAGGCGATCATGGCTCTCCACCTCCCTCTATCCCTTGCGTTTCTCAACAAGTTGCTTCCTTCCCTCTGCCACCTCCCGCAGAACACGTTCTGTCATCCACTTGCTTAAGGTTGCTAGGTATGTCATGCGTTGTATTTCCTTGTCTCTCTTTCCCTCTATTCGACCTGTGAGTATCAGATTCTCCAGGCCCTTCTTCCTCATTATGTGTCCCAGGAATTTCTTTTGCCTCTTCCTGATGCTAAGTATAAGACTCCTACTTGTTTGCACCCTCTCTAAGACCTCATCGCTGCTCACACGCTCGGTCCATGATATCCTTAGCATCCTTCTGTAGAACCTCATCC